AACGCCTCCGGGCAGTGGACGGAAGGGGAAAGGTCGGGAAAGCATGTGGGTAACATATGGAAATCGACCTTCACGACACAAGGTGAATCGTTGGGGGGGGGGGAGGGTGAGTGGGGTTTCTGAAACTTCACGGGGAAAAAAATAGAAGAGGAAGAGGGGGTGGGAAAGGAAGAGAGAAAAAGAAAAGGGAGAGTGTTTTGGGATTCTCCTTTCGATGGCGAACGAGAACTGGCGAAGGAAGAGGGAAAAGGCCCGAGGAAGGAAGTGACGAGAAGAGAAGAGACGCAGGCCGGGGGGGGGGGGCGAAAGAGGGAAAGGGCAGGAAGGAACTAAAGCGTTTAGGCGCCGGGTGTGGGTGTGCGTGTGTGTGTGAGAGAGAGATGGAAAGAGAGGAAAGGGGAGATGGAAAAAAAGAAGAGAAAAGAGACGAGGGGAAAGGAGAGAGGAAAGGAGAGAAGAGAAGGCAATGGGATGGAAAGGGAAAGGAAGGAAGGAAAAGAGGGAGTGGCATGGGAAGGATTGAGAAGGGAAGGGAAGAGAAGACAAAAGTCGGAAGAGACAGAGGCAAGAAAGGTGGATAAATAAGAAACAGGGAGAACGTAAACTGAAGCAAGGCGTACCTGCTTCGCGCCCCTTGCGATGGTCGTCACTGGCTACGTTCAGATCAGAAGACGCGGACGAGGCGCGTCGCCCGCCGCCGCTGCGTCCCGGTCCCGTTAGGGCGGGAGCAGCGCCGGCGCGGGCGGGCGCTCGCTCGAAGTGATGGACATATATATATATATATATATATATATATATAATTATATATATACATATATATATACATATATATATATATATATATATATATATATATATATATATATATATATATATATATATATATATACATATACATATATATATATATATGTATATATATAATGTTTGTTTATATAATTATATGTATATATATCTATGTATATATATGTATATGGATATACACGTGTATATATGTATATATACATAAAAAAATTATATATCACTTACATACATATATGTATTTTTGTGGGTATATATATGTATATATATTTATAAATAAATCACACATATCTGTGTGTGTGTGTGTGTGTGTGCATGTGCATGCTCATGTTCGTTCATGATCTATATATACGCCGTTATATGTATATATATTGTGTGCGTGCGTACGTGCGTACGCGTGTGCGTGTGAAAACAAATTTGATCGCTTGTTGATCATAACCTGTTCACTCTAAATTAGCGGTAATTATGAAAACCAGTATTGAATTGGGCCATTGATCTCGAATAGTTGGTTATGGAGTTAATAAAGCTTAACGCACGGTTCCTCTTACACATTGAACTTCCGGCCATCATGGCTTCTTTTATTCTTATACTAACATATGTATATATATATTATATATATATTATATATATTATATATATACACACACACACACACACACAACACACATATATATATATATATATATATATATATACATATATAACACACACACCACACACACACACACACACACACACACACACACACACACACACACACACACACACACACATATATATTATATATATATATATATATATATAATATTATATATAAAGTCGCACATATACAGTGTAGTGGTCCCCATGGAGAGCATCGTTGCATCGCAGCGCAGTCAGCGCCTGACGCAGCGCTGTGACGAGAGCGTTCGAGAAAATTCAAGATTCTTCGCAATTTCACATGTTAAAAAGCCATGACCAGCGCGATGGCGATGATGCAAGAATAATTTTTTGGGGCGTTTTTCTTTGTCATTATTTTTCTCTTTCAATAAACGTCTTCGGGTGAAAGTACTCTCGTTCTTCAGATATAAATAGTGCGACCATGTGCGAATGGCGTAAGAGGTTGAGAAAGAACGAAATGGACTCCATAAAAGAGTAACGAAAACGCGCACCTGGGTGGCCGTTCGCCTCCGCTTTTCCCGCGGGCACGCGCGCCTCCGCACAGCTTGTCTGCGGCGGGGCATTCTGGGCCAAAGGAGCGCGCGTCTGCACGGGCGCCCGGCCCGGATGGCACGCCGCTTGGCACGTCGCAGCGAAGACGAGGGAACTCGGTCGAAGGCCTGTCTGGGGACGCTTTCCCGCGGGACATGAGCTCAGCGCGGGGCAGACGAGGCGCTGGGCAATGAAGGGAAATGTGTGAAGGAGCAGACGAAGGGCGAGAGGAACTGTCAAGAGGCGCAGGGACGCGGGCGGTGAAAGGTGCCGAAGATTGCTCATAAAATGGAAGTACTTGATGGTCGACGGCGCCCGGATGCCGTTATGGGTGCACGCACGCACGCACGCAGAAGTCGTTGTATCAGTTCGAATTGTACGGTTTGAGTCGGGTCTCAGGTTTTCTCTTCTTTTCTGGTGGAATTTATCAATGTGACATGAAAGTGCTACGAGAGCCCATACACAGACAGACACACGGGTCCACTAATCGCCACACGCGTGCATTCCCTGAATCGCCCCCCCCCCCCCTAAAAAAAAAAACAATATACGCACGGGATGAATACATAATAACAGCATTCGAGTAATCCGATACCACAGGCAAGTAACGAACGGCCTCGGGACCCGCCAGGTAGCCGGTAATAGAGCCGTAACTGCCTCATTAGTTATGGCTCCATTATTAGTCATTACGACTCCCAACGGTTATTTGTGGGTCCTTATTGTACATCTGGCAGCTTGGTGTCCTTAGGGCCAGTTGCTCTTTTAAAGCTCGTTATGCCCAGGATATGCCCAGGACATGCCCAGGATATGCCCATCCGTCCGCGAAATGGAATATTGATTGAGATTCCCTGATCCCATTTGATATCTGAACCGCGAGGGCAGAGGAGCGAGACAGAGCAAGCACGACTCGTGTTTATTCCAAGTTTATGGCGTCGATTGCGTGTTGTTGTGGAAAGGACAAAGCTAAATTGGCCGGGATCAGGCAACGAGGCTTGTTCAACACGTTCAGTCTTGGCTAACATTTGCTGGTAAATATTTGAACATCCCTGATAAAAAAAAAAATAAAAAAGGAGGGAGAGGGAGGAGGAGGAGAGGAGGAGGAGGAGGAAGGAGGAGAGAGGAGGAGGAGGAGGAGGAGGGAGGAGGAGGAGGAGGAGAAGGAGAGGAAGAGGAGGAGACGAAGAGAAGAGAAAGAAGAAGAGAAGAAGAAGAAGAAGAAGAAGAGAAGAAGAAGAGAAGAAGAAGAAAGAGGAAAGGATAATATAATAATAATAATATTGATAATGATGATATGATGGATGATGAGATGATGGTGTGATGGTGGAGAAGAAAAATGAAAAAATGGAAATGGAGAAAGGGAAAGAGAAGACGAAGAAGAAGAAGTAAGAGAAAAGGAAGAGCTGGCTGTCAGTTAACAGGAGTCGAGGATCCCGACGAAGACTAGGATCACATACCAACTCTAGAATAGTAAAAAGTGAATCGAAGTTGAAAACCTCCTTGTGCAGGGGAACACACGGGTAAAGGTTTAGGTCTTTCAATCTCCTCCCTCTCTCTCTCTCTCTCTCTCTCTCTCTCTCTCTCTCTCTCTCTCTCTCTCTCTCTCTCTCTCTCTCTCTCTCTCTCTCTCTCTTCTCTCTCTCTCTCTCTCTCTCTCTCTTCTCTCTCCTACCACCCCCCCTGTCTCTCCCATTGAAAATAATGGAATGATCTGATTTAGATTTAACTCCTTCCTTTTCCCTCTTCCCATCTCTCTCTCTCCTCTCCTTCTCCTCTCACTTCTCGCTCTCGTCTCCCTGTCTCTCCTTCTCTCCT